TACGTATAGTACGCCGCTCCTCCTAGCCAAGGCATATGAATAGCTCTAGGTTGGCCTAGCTAGGCGCCACCAACTTATCTCTTAATTCTATGAGAGCGAAATTAAGGTTGGCGCGCGGCAGGCAAGACAAGGAAGTTCAAACTTGAGGAGTTCTTCATGAGTGAGATCATGCGCGATCGTGCATGCACGTAAGACAAAAAGAGTGGGCATGCATGAGGATTGTTTCGATAGATCAGAACGTTTTTAGATCGCTTCGATGAGTGGCAGGCAGGGGCATGTATAGGTCAACCAACATTGCATGGTGACGCTTGATTATGTTACTGTGGGCTTTGGTACTGTTCAGTCATGTGTGTGATCGATCGATTCTCTCTAGCTAGAAATCATGGATGAATGATCAAATCATGCATGCATGCATGATGCATTCGATGACCAACAGACCAACCAACCAAGCACTCCAACAAATGCACAGTACCGGTGAATCTATTCGTGCACGATTTCTCGCCACTCTTTCTTTTTTTACCAAACTGCTGAACAATAACCCTATACTTTGTTGGTCAAGAAATTAGCTAATTAAAAGGGCACAACAAGACAATCCTCACTAAGATGAGCTAGCTACCTAGTAGGAGTGGCTAGAGTATGAGACATTGAACAACATGATTAATTTGCGACATTGTGCTTCTCTAAATTTGCGTCATGCAAGCAGGACATGTGCATGAGAGCCAAGCTTTACAAATTAAAGCCTTGTCTTCTTGGACCATGAATGTCTTTGCAATTCCTTCACCTCTTTCTTAGTTTCTCACCCCACACTATTGTTAATCATCCTGACTGGCTAAGCTTGGCTTTAGGGCCCTTCTTTTATGTTGCGGAGTACTTGCATTTTATTTTTTGTTGCAAACACGTACAGCTGACTAGGAGGGGGCTAGCACCAACCAGGCCCGCAAGCATGCTCAGTACACAAGGCACTCAGAATAGATGAATATTTACAATTAGGGCCCTATTGCCAGAAGGGATGGAGGCTATGGTTGTACAAAGGGATAGAGCTAGGGTGTTAGGTGTGGATACCTAGCTTGGGCCAATAAATTATTTCTTGTTAGGTCTGGTTCCTTGTTTGTTGCAGTAGTAGCTGAGGATTCTGGTGATGGCAAAGGGAGCTGCAAGCTAGCCGTTCCTTGTTACAAGGTCAAGAATTTGTTGCGAGAGCCTCTAGGTCATGGTCTCATGGAGAGGAAAGTGGTCCACGAAATCTAAGAAGGCCTAACTCATGTCCCTTTCCTCCCATGTATGTGATGGAGAGTGAACTCCTCTAGGCTTATGTAATGCGCTTCATAGCCATTATGTTTGCCGTAAGACCCAATTAACGTATATATCCAATGCACATCTCAAGCCTTTTAGGTCCATTCCATGGTGACCTGGTCAACCTCTTCAAAAAGGGGTCCACGGTATAAGAAAACTTTGGTCAATATGGTTATATCATAATACTCCTCCTGCCCTTCATCATAGTTGCCTGCAACTTACAACTACTAATTGAATCTGTCGTTCACATATTTTTTGGGTACATATATCAGAGTGTGCACGGTGTCAAGAATCAAGTAGATGTATATCGTAGCTACGGAAGCACAACCTCAAAGAGGATGGATAGAATAGTTTTGGAAACTTAGGATCCTTTTCCTAGGTGACACAAACATTCACTGTGCATTATGCTTGACGGGTAGCTGACACATTCGTCAAAAGGAAACTAGCCTTAATTAGCGAAGAACGATGAAAGCAATCGCTTTCTCAATCCAATTTGGTTCTGGCTGTATATAAACTACAATCATAGTACACTACATAGAAAAAAGCATGTGTTTAGCTAGCCACGATACCTACACAAGCAACAAGCATATTTTCATAAATATCCAAACATTTTTCAGTATCATGCATGTGTATACACCATTCTATACCTTTTTTCGAAAAGGGGAAAGACCATTCTATACCTAGCTAGCTAGTTCTTTGTCGCCATTTGTTCAGCTTCAGAAGTACATGATCTATACCATACTCACGTGGTAGCAAAGAGTCTACTAATTACTATTGTATGTTATAATTTCATCACACTCTCACAGATCAATTAGTTCCAAATATATCAGGAGCCGGTGCACAATATTAATGAATTTGTTTAAATAATCCTATTTTGATGACCTTGAAGAATTGTAATTAAAGCTGATCTGGAAACAGAAAAATAGAGCATTTTTTATGGTATATGATTAATTATGCTGAGATGACATCCAGGTACGTTGGTGTTGATAACTTTACTAGATCCTTCCTACCTAAAGATAAGTTAGCTAGCGTCGACATTAAGAGTTGGAGTCATGGATGGGTACAAGCCAAGGCTGAAAAGGGTAGCTCCATAGGTAAGCTTGCAGTTCCATAAGCTAATATTTTTCATTCTCTCAGTTTTTTATTCAGACATGGAAGCAATGAATTCAACACCACCGTACCTTACCATATGTACATTCTCATCCTATACACAGGTGATGATTATGGATAGGATGAGAATACCAAGAAATTATAGTGCGGGTGCGGGTGCTCTAAAATGACCGAGAAACAAAATATTCGGTATGAAACCAACCCTTTCTGAATTATCTAAGTAAATAAGGTTGCTAATAATAATATATCAATAATTCACTTAGAAAATACACATGCACACGGAATAATAGTGCATATTCCCAAGTTCTAAGTTTATATATATGCTGGGTAGAATAGAGCTACTGCACGAATATATAAATTCTCAACTTCAAATTACTACTAACACCCATGAAGTCCAAGCATATCATATGATACATAAAGTAACCTTTTCCTATTAATGTGTGTCATCTTTTCAACAAGCTAAGATAAAAAATGATATATTATTGCAAATTTTAAGTAAAGATTGATATTCATGCACAAAATTCAGATGATAATATAACATAAAATTTCTAAGGATATAGAATTTATCTTCACTATATTGGAGAATAAATAGGGCCACTAACAATTAATCGCCCATGTGCACAAGGAGAACTACATCAGTTGCTAATTTCAATATGAAGGGATGTTCTTGCTCACTCTTAGTTGATCTCTCTTGTGATAAGTTAGCCGTTCTTAAATAGTTGTGTAATTTGTTGCACCCAGAATGTGCTCATATCCCATTTATTAATGTTTAGATCCATGGAAGCATTAACATTTATAAACTTCCATCTAACACAGATAACAATGGTGTACCAAACATGAGATGATATATATCAATCGGCCGCATAAAGTGTTTGTTTGGATGCACGGGATCGGTGCCAAATCACTTTGCGAAGCATTCGAAGTTGAGAAACAACCCCTACCTCGCCACGGGACTTGCTCCAATGCAAGACTATCCGAAGTACCCCTAATCATGTGTGAGGAACCTAGACAAGCATAGGACTAGAAAACACACTCAGCAAATTTGTAATACAGAACTGATGTCTGCACTAACAAAGCATAGATATAATCTAGCTCGCAATGCACAAAAATGTATGCGTGCCTATTATGGTGGAATCACTCCATGCATATATATATATATATATATATATATATATATATATATATATATATATCAAACACAAAAGATTTCAAAAAAGCATGTATATGAGTTGAATGATGTTTTGGTTGTAGGTAGTGGCCATTGGTCAGGCTACAGTGCATTACAATCGTAGTGTGCTTGAAAATAAGTGTGCAGAAGGGGGGAAAAGAAACAAAGTAGAGTTGAGGCTACACCTAGATATAGGATATGGACAGTACTCACTGTACCACTCTACGTATATATAGGCCGGCCGGGAGCTGAAAATTGCAGAGTACTGTTGTACTGAAAGACAAGAGATCATACCCACTGTTCTTTATTTCTCTGAAAAGATTTAATCTTGCACAACGCACTGGTACGGTGGTACTAATTAACTGTAAGAATGAGAAATTATCTAGGTTGAAAGACAAACTACTCCTAGTAGTTAAGCATGAACCAAAAATGTTAGCTTCAAGCTGTCCACAAAATGACGCATGCATACTACAGGTCCTAATAATGGCTAGGCTTAGATTAAGTTTGCAGTTTTCCTAAAAGTAAATCATGCACATTGTTGGCATTCCATCATTCCATGTGAGACTAGAGCTTGTATTGGTCGGTATTTCTCATTTTCTATAAAGAATTACCACATTGATCTATGTCACTTCAACAAAGAATATTGAAAAATAGTACCCTATGGAAAGGAGAAACAGTGGCGTGACAAGGTCACTGTGTACTCTAGAGAGAGAAGGATAGAAAGAGAGAGAGAGTACTCCAAAGATTAGCCAAAGAATTGCATAGAATTGCTGTACTTTCCCTTGTGGTGTGGAGCAAGCAGAAGCTGATTGCTCATCCATCCCAAGGAACAAGAGAATATATTGTTGGCTGCTTAAACAGAAGTACAGAACCAACCAATGCAGCTATAGAAGCATAGAAGAACAAGACATGCAAAGAAATCATATAAAAAGCACCACAAAATGAGCAGCTTTACCATGCCATCCAAGAGAAGCTTCCCCATGCACACACAAAAGCAAATCCAAGCAGACAATAGCATACCATGTAGGAGTACGCAATGTAATCGATCTAACGCATACGTACTTAGGAGTAACATAGAATACTAGTACTAGTAGCAGTAAACTATAGTTAACCAATCACGTGCTGCATGCGAAATGTAAGTAGTAAACGATTTCAAAAGGGAGTGATTAAGATACACTTTAGTTTATCTCTCTTTAATTGCACCAATGCATTAAGGTCATTACTAATTAACCAACAGGAAATTAAAATTCATGGAAGGATCCAAAAGTAGTAGCTCTAGCTAGCTAACGAGATGCATTAGCGTTCGTCATCAACGATGGACAACAATCCCCCTCCTCTTCTTGGATCTTCTTGACTTGGATCAATGCAACTCGACCATCATCTTTGGCAGTAAATGAAACTTGCTAGGAATTCATGGCAGGAATTGAAGCTAGGTTCTAGGGTTATGAGGGAAGAACTGGGTGCCTGCTGCGAAGGCGCCGATCGGCGTCGGGTAGGGGTCCATGAGCACCGCCGCGGACGTCGCCACCGTCGCTCCGTGCCCCCCGGCCGCCTCGCTGCTCCCGGCCGGCGATGAACCCTCCCTCGCGGCCCCTGTCAGCTGGTGGTACTCCGCCGAGGACGGCGGCAGCTGCCCAGCCGCCTCTTCCGCCGGCCCATGGTCCCGCAGGATCCCCTTGAACGTGTGCCCCCCGATGCTCACCGCCGTCTGGTACGCGAACTCCGCGTCCGGCTCGTCCACCGGCCCTATCCGCACGCACCGGAACACGGCCTCCAGGCTCAGCTCCGGCGGAAACCTCCCGTCCCCCTCGCCTGCAAACACACCCCGTCGGCGTCAGCGTCCTGAATGGTGCAGTAGTGCAGTACTGCAGTGACTGATTGTACTGTAGACTGTAATTGAGTAGCTTCCACATACCTGAGGAAGTGGTGGCGTCGACCATCGCGGTGGTCGCGGACGGCAAGCGGCCGAGGGAGCGCACGAGCTCGCGGGGCCGTTTGTTGGCAACGGCAGCGGCCGCGGCGGCGGCGGCGCTGTTGTTGGCTGCGGCGCCGCGGAAGAGCGCGGCGAGCTGCTGCTGGCGCTCGCGGCGCTTGGAGGCGGGGACCCAGGTGCTCTTGACGTGGGTGGCACAGTTGAAGCCGCGGCTGCGGCAGCAGGTGCGGCACCGCTGGTGGGTGCAGTCCTTCTTGGCGTTGTTTCCGCAGTCCTGGCAGCTGGTGCCGGCCCTCCCGCCCCCCGGGCCGCCTCCACCAGCCAAGCCGACGCCGCCCACGCCGCCGCCCTCATGCGGCGAGAAGCCCAACACGACGCCGGTGGCCACCCCGGAGGAGAAGAACTGCGAAGTGTGCGGCACGGCCGCCGCCTGCTGGTGGTGCGGGTGCCATAGCTGGAACCCTATCCCACCTCCTCCCCCGCCGCCGCCGCCCGCCGTGTCGGCGGCCGCGGCGGCGGCGCCGCGCGCGTACAGAAACAGACTGTCTGCCCCGATTGGATGATCGCCGCGGTCACCGCTCCTTCCCCCGCTACCTCCACCTCCGCCGCCGCCGCCTCCCCTCAGAGAGAACCCCGCCATCCACGGCAGCAGCCAACACCCATCAAGAAGCTCCTGCCAGCGCGCTCACTTCCTTGCTCACTTTCTCCTTCCTCCCCTCTCACCTCCTACAAACACAAACAGCCCGAATAAAAAAGTAGATCTTGGGTGTAAGAAAAAGCGGAAGAAGCAACAGAACATGGCAGGCTCTTGGGATTGCGCGACCCATAGCTCAGATTTTCAACATAGCTCACCAGTAGATTAGACAGATCTACCACTGAGATGCCGATAGATACACAGATTTCTACGCAATTACACACACATACTCCTCCTCGCTAGCATATCTAGGGGGCTTGGTTACGGGTGTTGACAGCATGTAGCTAGCGCTGACAAACTTGAGCGAGCCTGCCTAACAAGTTAGGAAACTAGTTACTACCCCAACCACTTGTACTCACCTTTCTTCGCCTCTTGCCGTGAGGATAGGTAGCTTGATCTTGCCTCTAATTCTCGATCTCCTCTTGAGAGCGGAGACTGCCTAAGGCTTGGCCTTGTTCTCTTCTCACTAGGAGGAGGGAGGAGGAGCTTAGGAGGGAGGGAGTGGGGTAAGGTGCTTTTTGGGGTGGTGAGGGGAGCCAAGTGCGTGGCTAGGCTATATAAAGAAGAAGGATTGGGGGAGGGATGATGGGCGCAAGCTGCCGGGGAGGAATTCTAGAGCGCCTGCAAGCGCCGCCATGGTGGCGGCTCGAACCTTAATTTCTATTTATTGCTTCCCGCAGCTCGGCGCTCGATCGACCGATCTCGCTCCTGCTGCTGCTGCCGCTGCCTGCTGCTTCCTTATCTCTCCCCCTTTCCTTGCGCAGCTGTGCTTCCCTCTCTGTCTACCCAACCGGATGAAAGAAGAACAAAGGATGCGAGGGGAGAGAGGAGAGAGGAAATAAAGGAGGAGGGAATGGAGAGAGAATGTGTGTCTAGTAGCTGCTAGCAGTAGTACACTAGTACTCGATTTTATTTATATTTGATTTTTATGGGCTGTTTGTGTGTTGCTTTTGCCTGCTTTTTTTTTGCCTTGCGCTGCTGAGAAATTATTACGGGAGCGGCCCTGTCAAACACAGGATGACTACATGGCGACAAAGGGCAGGGAAGGCGAGGGGAGGAATTTTTCACTGACAGGAGAATGCACCTTTGCTCTCTGGTCGTCGTCTTCCAGGCCGAGCCCCCATGCACACCTGCTTTTCTTTAACGTCTCCTATCCTATCTCGCCATGTCCCTGTGCATGTGTTCTTTAATAATTTCTAGTTTCTTCCAGACAAATGCGCTAAACTTCTAGAACATATAAGTGGTTATCGTGTATAGGGATGTAAGTGGCAAATAAATGGCGTCCGCAATCCCGTTTAGTTATTTTTTGCTAGCTTGATAGTTCATTTTTCTCAAACAAACAAAAAACCTTTTTGAATTATCATATCATAAGTGGATTTTAAACGGAATTAAATGGGACCCGGTTGACATCCCTAGCGTGTAGGATTAGAAAGTAGTATACCAATTTCTAATTGACAGTAGAATGGCAAGTAATAGGAGAAATGGAATGCTTGTGGGCCGGGTGACATACATCGCTGCAAAAATTCATGCAACAGTTTATCAAGATTAAAATTCATAGGCAAGCATGTTTCAATATAGTTTTTCAAATATATAGAGCATGAGAGTAGCTTTTGTTTGGTCCACACTAGCAAAAGGCCCGTGCGTTGCAACCGGACAATAAAATTGTGGTTTTTAAATTAAGTTCCAAACACCCGCACTCTATGTGTATACACATATTTGAATATTTATGCACGGACCGACTCACATGTGGACTCTTAAGACACATGCATTCTAACATGCTCACATTAGATCGATGTTGGACTTATCCTTGATGCGTGTAATTTTCTTGAGTACATCCTCGATGCGTGTATGAGAAGGAAAAGAAACGGCCAGTCTCACGATGGATGAAAAATTGAACGGTCCTATGACGTAAGAATAATTCGAAGGAACACTTGTTTTTTTTCACGTTTACGGGTAGCGGGGTGGATAATTAATTTCAACTTTTGGGACAGTTTCAATGATAGAGAGAAACAATTAACGAAGAGTTTTTTTTTCGCTTACAGGTGGCGTGGTTGGTAATTTACTTGAACTTTAGGAGGAGTTTCGATGACAGACGAAAAAATCATGGAAACAGTTAACAAAGAGATTTTCTCACTTACTAGTGGCATGATAGGTAATTTACTTCAATTTTATGGGCAGCTTAGGCCAAGTGGATGGACAAAAAAAATCAGAAAAACACACCTTCCTTTATTATTAAATTAGGTAATAGATTTGAGCAGGTAGTTTTTTTTAGAGAAAATGCATAAATCCCGACTTCAACTTAATGAAGCCATCAACCGGCTAGGATACAAAGGAGTTGATTACAAAATGCCAAAACTTGATCAAAAACTAAAAGATCACATGCAAATCACGCTCCAGACCAGGAGCTATAGGTAGCACGGCAACAAACGCCATCGCCTACACTAAGGTGGCGTTTGGTTGACGGGCGAGGTTGGCTTGGCTGAGGATATCCTTAACCACCTGGTTGGGGATGGCCAGTTTTTGTCGTTTGGTTGCGAAGGATTTGATGAGATGGATAGCCTCTTTTTATTGTTTGGTTGCAAGGATAAAAGGTGGATATGGATAGTCATTAGCTACTTTTTTAATGTTCATCTACAATGAAATATTAACACATGCTCTTCTTTGTACAATCAAATACATGTATACATGCTCTTCTTCGCACAATCAAATGCATGTATACATGTTCTTCTTTCTACAATCATACACGTGACTGACCATGCAATTAAATACCATGAACTGGTCACTATTTACCAGATATTCATACATGTATACATGTTCTTCTTTGTACAATCATACACGTGACTGTCCATACAATTAAATACCATGAACTGGTCACTGTCCACCAAAGTATTCTGCTACTTCTTACCAACGCCTCACTGTTACCAGTAGTATTCATATGTGCTATCTGTAGACGAAGTTGAAAGACTGTAAACGAGAGAGTTAAAAGACTGTCGCATACATACAGAGAACAGATAGGCAAGATCTTCAGTGATCCTCGTTCCCGGCCGCCGGGGCTCCCCGTTCCCCGCCAGCCATGGTCACAGCACGCCGAGAGAGAGAGGGGGGGATGGATGGAGGTAGGGGCCATGGCAGAGGAAGTGCACCGCCGCCGCTGTCAGGTGTGCGCCGCCGCCGCCGCCGCTGTCAGTCACCAACTAGTGGGAGGGGAGTAGCCTGGAAAGGATGGGGCACCCGCGGCTCGCCTCGTCTCAAGGAGCAGGGCCATGGCCGACGGCCAAGCAGGGCGCCGGCGTGGGCGGTGGTACGCCAGCGGCGGAGGCAACAGAGGGCGCCGCCGGGCCCATGGAAAAACGTTTCACGCAAGCGCGGGTGGCTGCCCACATCCGCCATAATCTCGCGACTCTCGTCAACCATGTTTTGAAGGAATATTCCCTGATATCTGGTTATCCCTATCCTTCCTGGCGGGTAAACCAAACAAGTGATATCCCCTAAAAATTTGGCTATCCCTTTCCCTATGGTGGATAGCCTCTAAACCAAACGCCACCTAAGAAGCCAGAGTCAGCCGCCAAATTGCCCAACATAGCTATATCTGTAGCGCAAAGGCCAACCAAAGACGCCAACTGTCACAAACCTAGTCTGGTATGCACTTAGACTAGCTAGTCATGTTTAAAATTCATTGAAATTGAATTGGGGAATGATCCACACCCTAGCACCAAATTAAATCAAATAGGTTCAATAAAATCTTTTTCAATAAACCCAAAGATGCCCTTTAAAAATGTTCATGATTTATAGCACAAGGTGAGAACCTAAACCAAAAATGGTGCACATTTTTCGATGGCAGAAGTGGGCCTAGAATTAATACAATAAGTATTTGAGTTCGGGCTATTAAATGCTACATATATTTTTAACAGCTCCAGTGATCCAGAAACTTTATCTAGGGCACTGGATTAATTCATTTAACATCCACAACAATTTTCAGAACTTTCTAAAATGGTTTAGTGCCTAAACTAAATCAAAGCAGAAAAGAAAAATAGAAAATAGAACAGAAAATAGGAAAATACAGAGAGCAGAGAGAACTACCTAGTGCTTACCTGGGCTACTTCCCTGGCCGGCCCACTGGCCCAGTGCCAGTCACCCCTAACCCCTTGCCAGTCGGACGGGGCGCATGCCCGACGCGCGCACGTGGCGCACGTGCCACCTCCTGCTCGCCTGCCTGCCTCCCCCGACATGTTGAGCAGCTGGATTGACTCCATGGTGTTGTCCTGATCGAGCCGACGCCCGCCCACTTCCTCCTCGCTCTCTCTCGCCCGATC